GTTTTTATGCTTGCTTTCAGTGTTGCTATTTTAAGCCATTCCTCTATAGAAGTACTTNTCCAATTTATACAGCTAGGTAAAGCGTCGGTAGCTGGTTATGACTTGGGGGAATTTGACAGACTCTTAAGTAACTTCTACATTGAAAAGTTCAGAAATCAATTTCTCACATACAATGTGGAAGACAAGGCTTGGCAGTAAGTAGTTCAGGGAAAATCTAAGGGTACTAAAGTGGAAACAACAGTCCCATGAGGCAGTGCAATCTCAAGAAGCCATAAAAGAAGTGTATTGCTTAGATGAGGGGATAGGATGATCACAGTATGTTCAGAAATCTTTAGAGCACATGTGGAATGTGGTGTATAACTGTGTGTGGAGTAGGGGGGTGGGGTGGGGTGCTGACTCTATGCAAAGAACTCTGCTGACTGCAGAATTCTATGTCGAGGAGGACTAGATGCATCCAGAGGAGTACCAGGACGGGGAGAGATGCGGATAGGGCGTCTTATGATGGGGAATTGAAGGAGATGGCTATTTCACCTAAAGAAGGAGGACTGAAGGGAGACAGATTAATACTTTCAAATTCCCACTTTTGAGTAGGAAGGACAATTGATTTGTGTTCCTTCAAAAATAGGAAGAGCTGTAACAGGAAAGTGGCAAATAGTTCAATTTTAATTCTATGTAAAAACAAACTTGTAATAACAAAATCTGCCCAACAGAGTGGTGGGCTATCTATCTTAGGAAGTAATGAGCTCCCCATAATTACAAGTAATCAATATACACTGGATGACCAACATTAGAATATGTAGAAGATCGTCTTACACTGGGTAGGCAATTAAGCCTAATGATTATAATAAAAATGTCCTGCATTTATAAGATTATATCATTGAATAAAGGGGAAGCATTCTAATTCCTGTTCCATTTGCTGCTTACCACTTGGGGTTCTCAAGTGAGTAATAAACTCTCTGAGCTGTAGTTTCCTCAACCAGAATATGGAAATAAAAATGATATTTACATCATGAAGATCAAATCAAATGAATATGTAAAAGTGCTTTGAGAATTCTAAAGCCCTCTTTTAATGTAGTTAGTAATATGATTATTTTGTGTAGGAATTTTGGAAAAATATGCCATCTATGTCATTCTTCCACATATATCACTTATTAAACTCAGAGGGTTGAGTGGCAAAAATTTTTCTTACTTGACTTA